TATATATATATATATATATATATAAGGCTGATGCATGGCTGTTTGGCGTATACGTAATCTGTGAAAGCAACTTTAGTGTTATTAAACATTTAAATCAAGCTGGCATTTTAGAATTTATGTTATCCGAATATCACATAAAATAAAACGGGGAAGTGCTTTATTTAATTAAATAAAGTCGGCATACTGTTTTTATAATATTTATCATACTGGATAATAATGGGGCTAAAGATTTTATGTACCACAAATTGTTTTTTTAATAATTAGATTGATTAATAATTGAAAACACTAAAATTCAACTCTAAATGAAAGTGACATTATTTGTTGTTATCGAAAAGGAATAAAAAAGTACTCCTATATGAAAATAAGTTTGTGGCCCCTCCCCTTAACCAGAGATTTCAAGTTCGAGTCCTGGGTATGGAAAAATTCTTGGTAGGGAGCGCTTCTCCTCGAATAGGGCCTATGCGACGCGAATCCGGATATAGTCGGGCTCCAATGCGGGTACCGAACACCGGGTGGAAAACCAAAAAAAAAGTTTGTGGCCCCTCAATAGATGAACGCCAATTGTCCAATTTTATTTTCTAAAATAACTTAAAACGCCATCTTTGACCAAAAATAGACACTGTCATATTAAAATGCTTAATAAAGTAGTGTTGAAAAGTTGGTTTCATTAATGATACACAAATAAAATAAGTATTAAAGTGTGTTGTAAAGTTAGTTTGATTGATAAATTTCACGTAAAGTTTAAACTGTAAGTAGATTAAATGAATTCTTAGAAAAGTAAGTAGTCTTTATATTTGACTCTTTCTTAAAATATATCGTACTAAAGAAATATTTGTCATATTTTTAGTAATGTTTCAAAATTATTTTAAGAACACCCAATGGAATAGATTGCGTGTTGTATGTATTCGCAAATAATGTAATTAAATAGTTTTGTATTTTTGTTATTGGACAACTAGTCATGTGTCTGTGATTGTTTTTTCAAGGGGAAAGTAAATGAAAGTCTTTTCTACTCATAAAAGACTTCCAAAATCACACAAACCGATAGTTAACAAATGAAAGTCTTTTCTGTTATTTTCATTTGAATTACTCGCCCACTTACAAATAAGTTATTGCTTCTCCGGAGTCAATCTGGCTAATCTTCAAAACTAAATCAGAACAACATGCAAACTTCCCCACGACCCAGAACCTCGAAAGGGAATCGTTGCCTCTAATGGTAATAACAGCCCCACTACCACCAGACCACCTTCCCACTTCTTGGATGAAAATGGCATTGTAGAGAGCAACCTTTCCACCGACCCTCTCATAGGGTCTTTGCTAATCACTGTCGTAATCCAGAACCCTCATTACTTAGCCAAGATAGTCACTGCATGCTTCAATTATGCAATGTTGAACTATGGGCATCAACTGTGACTAGCAACCTTGGTACAAGCCTAGGTAACACCCAGCCAACAAACAATGACACCAAACCAATTGAGTGCCCTGATGGATCAGATCAGCAACTCCCTACTTTTCTTCCCCCTAGTAACACCAGGGAAGGAGATTGTAAGCCCATTATTCTCCCAATGGAGCAGCATGGACCACGACCCCACCATAAAGGGAAACCCTGATGGCAGGATTAGAAAAAGTCCACGAGCACCTCCAAGCCTCCAACACAGAGCTAGAGGCACTGATTGTAAAGCTGGGAGTGCCAAAACAAAGGCAATCTCCTACAACAAGAGGAGTTAATAGAGTTTAGAGGGCCTGGGTGAGAAATGCTTATCGCATAGAGCATGAAACTGTGCGGGATGAGCCTAAGGTTAGCCTCAAATCCAAACTCAGGAGACTTAGCTGTAAGACTAAGCCCAGTTCTGATACAGGAAGACAAACAGGTCATCTCTGTACAAGTGAACTTGGAGGCCAATCCTGTGAAAGGGAAGGCGAAATGCCTGAAAAGGAAGTCCCCACCACACTCCAAGTTGTTAATGAATTTCATCATTTGGAATGATAGGGGTGCCAATAGTAGTGAGTTTAGGAGGCATTACGCTGAGATGGTCAAAATGCACAAGCCTGCAATGCTAGTCCTCCTAGAAACTAGGATGACTGAGCATAAGAACCGGATTCATGAACTGGGATTCTCTGGGAAAATCCAAAGCCCAGCTATTGGCCTATTTGGGGACATAGTCATCATGTGGAAAGATGATCTACTCAAAATTGATGAAGTCTCTGCCACATCTCATGGCATTAATGTCATAGTCAAGGTAATCCCCTCTTCCAACTCTTGGCTTTTCATTGTTGTTTATGCTAGCAACACTTATGCACTTAGGAGAAACCACTGACAGAAGCTCAGAACTATCCATGATACCTAACAGGGGAGTTGGCTAGTAGGGGGAGGACTTCAATGAAGTCCTGAGAGCTAGAGACAAGTATGGGGGGATTACATCTTTGCTCCTAGGGCTAATCTCTTCTGGCAATGCATAAATCAATGTAAGCTGATTGATCTTGGTTTCAAAGGTAGCAAATTTACCTGAACTAACATGAAATATAGAAATAGGAGTCACTTAATCCTGGAAATACTAGACAGGTGATTTATTAATGAGGATTGGATCCAAAAATTCCCTTCTAGTACAATTAGCCCCCTTCCTAGAACTCACTCTAATCACTTGCCCTATGCTTATAAATCTTTGGTTCAGGCCCAGCAGTCTCTTTAAACCATTTAGATTTGAGCCCATATGGTGCAGCCATCCCTCCCTCACCAGTGTGGTGCACCAGGCCTATGAGGGTAAGTGTAACCTACTTGAGGGAACTACCAAATTCCAAGACCAAGTTACTACTTGGTATAAGATAGTTTTTGGTAACATCTTCCATAAAAAGAAACATCTACTAGCTAGGCTTGGAGGTCTCCAAAAATCCAATGTCTATCCCTTCAGCCCTTACTTTTAGCATCTAGAGTGCCAACTTCTAGAAGACTATTCACCTATTCTGAGAAGTGAAGAGGAATTCTGAAAAACTAAGTCTAGGATAAACTGCTTATGGAGGGAGATGCTAACACAAAGTTCTTGCACACCCCCGCTCCCAACATGAGAAGAAGGAACATGTTTCTGGGACTCCAAAATGAGGCAGGGGATTGGATAGATGACCATAAGGGAATTGAAGATATCATATTCCAGTTCTACTCATTCATATTCAACACTAACCATCAATCTTCTACCAAGGGTAGGGATACTACCGTTTATGACTCTCACACCCTTTCACATAGGGAACAGAACATTTTTAGTGCTCCCCTAAGGAATAGTGAAATAAAGATTGTTTTATTCTCATTCAAACCTTCCAAAGTCCTTGGGCTTGATGCCCTACACCCAATATTCTACCAAAAGTACTGGAATATCCTTGAGGGTAAGAAAACATGCTTTTGTAAGCAGGTCTTCCACACCCTTGAAATGAACCTTGAGGTTAACACTACCCATATGTGCCTAATCTCTAAATGTGCAAATGCTATTGTGCTGAAGAACTTCAAACCTATTGGCCTATATACAATGTACAAATTGATCACTAAAATCATTGTTAACAGAGTTAAGCCTATACTTCCCTCTATCATAAGCCCTAGCCAAGCTAGCTTCCTGTCTAACAGGAGGGCCTGTGATAATGCTATTATTGTGCAAGAATACATTAGTCACTTTAAGAAAATAAAAGGCAGAAATGCCAACAAGATCCTAAAGATTGACCTGGAGAAGGCATTTGATAGGTTAGAATTGTCCTTCATCAGGGACACACTGCTTTTCTTTGGTTTCCCTAGCAACACCACAAAGCTGATTATGTCCTCCATTTTCACCAGTTCTATCTTTGTGCTTGTCAATAGGAGCAGGACTGAGTATTTTAAGCCTAGTAGGGGCATCAGACAAGGAGACTCTATCTTCCTACATCTTCATCATTTTTTATGGAGAGACTACCCGGAAGCATTGATGCAAAAATGCATAATGGGAATTGGTTCCCCAACCAATTTCAGTCAAACAGGGCTAAAAATCTCCCATCTCTTCTTTACAGATGACCTCACTCTCTTTGCTAGAGCATACACCAAGAACTGCAATACCATAATAGAAACTCTCTGGGAGCATAAATGTAAGTCTAGCCAAAAGGTAAATAATATCATGTCCAAAGTTATCTTCTCCACAAACTGCCAGCAAGAGGAAGTTAGACTAGCCAGGATATTGACCATTAAACCCAGTCTCTCTTTTGGTAAGTACATAGCCTTTCCCGTCTTCCACAAAAGACCCACCAATAGAGACTATCAGTTTATCATTGATAGTATGCAGTCTAAGCTGGCAGGCTGGAAAACCCATTTCCTGAATATGGCTGGGAGAACTATACTAGCTAAATCCTCTCTTGGGTGCATCTCTAGCCATGTCATGCAATACATTAAGCTCCCAGCTCAGGTGTCCAACCAAATTAACATAATTCAGAGGAATATCATTCGGGGTATCATTGCAGCTAAAAGGAAAATGCACCTAGTTGGATGGAAAACTATGACAAAGCCTCGGGATGAGGGTGGTTTGGGAGTTCAAACAGCTGAAAACAGAAACATTGCCACCCACACTGGCCTGGCCTGAAGGATGTACAACAATACCAATGCCCTCTGAGCCGGGGTTCTGTTCCACAAGCACTGTACTAGTAGGAACCCTTCTAGGCACATTGCCTCTAGGACTTGGCAAAATATCAAAAATGGTTGGTATATTTGTAGTAAGGCTACTAGGTGGGTAGTACATAAGGGGGATAGAATTAACCTTTATAGTGACAGATGGATCCCTGGTATGGAGACTCTTAGGAGCATTATCAATGGTCCACTCAAAATGGGAGAGGAGAGTTTGAATGTAGGCTCATGCTACAATGAAGGTCATTGGGACATTAGTAATATCTCCTTTGACCTTCCTGAGAAGGTAGTTATTATTATCAATTCTATCTTTATTAATCCTAATTCTGGGAATCTGGATAGGATGGTAAATTGATAGTGGCCTTTTCTCAATAAAAATTGCATATACCCGCATTAGAAGTCTGAATAATCATCAGAATCATAACTCTGGGAAATACTTCAACTGGTGTTGGGGCCAAAAACTTCCAAACAAGATAAAATACTTTCTTTGGTTAGTAACCCATGCTAGGCTCCCTACAACTCAATAAATTCACTCGATGGGTATGAATCTTAACCCCATGTGCTTCTTCTGTAACAAGGAAGAAGAAACTATTGAACACATACTCTCCAGATGTGGCAATGCTAACCAATGTTTCCAGAAGTTAGCTGAGCAATGCCATTCTAACCTCTGCATCCTAAACCTTATAATTAGCCAAACAAACTGGGTGCACACTCTTAACAAGGTAAAGCACCAACCCTTTAATGACATACTCAAATGGGGGCACTTAATCCCTTTCTGCCTTGGCAAATTTGGATAACCATGAACATTAACAGGTTCAACTAGGGGTGTTCATGGTTCGGTTTGGATCGGTTTTTTCCTAAAAAGAAACCAAACCAAGTAAGTCGATTTGTCAAATATTAGAACCAAACCAAACCAATTAAGTCGGTTTTATCTCGATTCGGTTTATGTTGGGTTTTGTCGGTTATTTACCGATTTTTTCTTAAATATAAGACATACACTACCAAACACATATTCCGGCGACTACATTTTCAATGTAACACTATCAAATCAATTGCCCTTTGAAAAATCGATTATTTACTAAGATATAATGATGATAATTGAATCAAATAGTGATGAATAATTTAAGGACTCAATTAAAAAAATATTTTTTTAACATGAAATGGATTCTTACACTTAACAAAAGAAAATTACTAATCAAAATAGAATGTAAAGGTAAAGAACTGTACTAAAAGTGCAAACGATTAACATTCACCATAAAAAATTTGAAACTTTGTATAAAAATATACATATATATAGGTATAATAATAAATTTGAAATAGTTACTCCTATAGTCGGTTTGGTTCAGTTTTTCCGGTTATTTTGTGATTAAAATCAAAACCAAACCAAATTTGATCGATTTTTAAAATTCAAAGTCAAAACCAAACCAAACCAAACCAAAAAGTATCGATTTTTTTGGTCGGTTTGGTTTGGTTTTCGGTTTGGTTCGATTTTTCGGGTTTTTATGAACACCCCTAGCTTCAACTATATGAAGGATCATGTCCCCTTTAGAGTGGCCATTAACAAGGCTGCAGAATTCATGCACATAGCAATAGGAGGGAAAGAGCCCAGACACAGTACTGTTGTCTCTATTAAATGACAGCCCCCCAGGGAAGGGTTGTTACAAGCTAAACATTGATGGTGTTACCATCAAAAAGATACCACATGGGGAATAGGAGCAATAATTAGAAACAACAATGGGGATTATGTAACAGGGTACATGGGGAAAATTAAGTGCACAAATACCCTCCATTATGAGCTAACAGCTTTCTTGGAGGGCCTAAAAATGGCAATATCAAACAATCTAGTGCCCTTAGAGGCCACTGTGGACTCGACAGAGGTAATATAATGCATAAACAATGGTCATATGATATATGATTCCCTGATCTGTGAATGCAGCTCTCTCCTAGCAGCGTTGGGTCATCCACCAGTAAATCACACATTCAGAGAGGGAAATAGGGTGGCAGACAAGTTGGCAACAGAGGCAGGGAAGCAGGAATCAACTTTTTGGTAGTTCTTCCGATGTTTGTCAATGAAGTACTATGGGCAGACACCCTTGGAACTATTTTTGAAAGAAACGTTAAAAGTTGTAATATTGTAAATGTATCTTTGCACTACTCACTGTTTGGTACGATGTGCTTAACTCCTCAACAGCCCAATGTAAGAACAATCTTAACTTAGTATTATAAATATAGTATCCTTTTGACCAAAAAAAAACTAAAGTTCATTATGTCTAACTCGATAGCTTGCAGCTAAAATTAAGATATTTAACTTTTGGGGTTATGCAATAATTTTTTTTATTATATCCACTTTTCGTGTGCATATGCTGATTTTGTAGAATTTCTTTAACAGATTTCGATTGGTTTGAAATTTTGTTGGTCCATAGAAACAGCCTAGTGACTAATACTCATTGTTTCGCCATGACTTTCTAGTTCATTTTCTAGTATTTTTGGGTCATGCAACACAGAATTTGTAATTATATATATTTTTTCATGTGTATTAGTATATGTTGATTTTGTAAAATATATATATTGACGGACTCTGATTAGCCTCAAATTTCGTAGGTCCGCAGAAATTGGCCTAGTGACTAATACTCATTACTTTGCCATGATTTTCGAATTTATTTTATGGCGTTTCGAGGTCATGCAATACGAATTTATGATTATATTCGTTTTTTTGTGTGTATTAGCACATGCTGATTTTGTAGAATTTTTTGACGAACTCCGATTGATTTGAAATTTCGTTAATCTATAAAAAAAAGGCCTAGTGACCAATACATATCGCTTCTCCATGACTTTTAGATTCATTTTTTTGTATGCAACATATGATTATATCCACTTTTTTATGTGTAGTACATGCTTATATAGTAAAAAAATTGATGGATTATGATTGGCCTGAAATTTCCTATGTCCACAGGAAATGGCCTAGTGACCAATATCAATCGCTTCGCCATGACTTTTGGACTCATTTATGGCGTTTCGTGGTTACGCAACATGAATTTGTGATTATATCCACTGTTTCTATGGGTTAATATATGTTGATTTTGTAGTTATTTTTTTTTATGGACTCCGATTGGACTGAAATTTCGTAAGTCCATAGGGAACGGTCTAATGACCAATACTCATAGCTTCATCATGACTTTCGGATTCTTTTTTTGGCGTTTTAAGGTCATACAATACGAATTTATGATTATATCCACCTTTCCGTGTGTATTAGTACATGCTAATTATTTTTTTGACGGACTCCGATTGTCCTGAAATTTTATAGGCGTATAGGAATCGGCCTAGTGACCAATGCTCATTGTTTTGTCATGACTTTTAGATTCATTTTATAGTGTTTCGGGGTCATGCAACACGAATTTTTTATTATATCCACTTTTTCATGTGTATAAGTACATGCTGATTTTGTTAAAAAAATAATAATAATAATAACAAAAATAATAACGGACACCAATTGGCCTAAATTTCATAGGTAATAGGAAACAGCCTAGTGACCAATATTCATTGTTTCGCCATGACTTTCAAGTTTATTTTATGAGTAAATAGTGAGGACTGCAGAATCTTGAACAACATAAAACTAGTCATTTATGATGAATCTTCGTAGTAATAAATACGTTGTTGTATCAGGTATACATACGTATCCAACACATTTTTTGCTAATTTTCTCATATAATTCAAAGAATTCGCGCAGATATATATCTTCATATCACACTCAAGTTCGAACGATGATTAGCATATATAAACTGTGTGGATAAGGCCCTAGAAAGGATAAAATAAACCTTTGCAAATTGCAAGGTATAGAGCCTTTTCTGTTTAATCACTATAAGTCTGTTCTTTTTTCTTTTCTTTTTTACTATCAACTACATGCCCGACTGCTGGTAAGCACAGTCACATTTGTACATCTATACAGTGATGAAGAAATATGATACTATAATCAGAATAGGAGAAGGCACAAGATGAAGCAACAGAAGAGAAAGGTGGATACTCTGTTAAGAGACTTGTCCACCTGCATTTCTTGCCTTCTCATTCTAGAGCTACCACCTCCCGGGATGGGATACGACCCCGGATAAGGATATGAAAACGAACTTGCATCCGAGCCCCCCAACATCCTCGTGAGGAACATTTCTCCGAACATCACAACCATTGGGCTGAATAAACTAGTCATCGCAGTGCCTCCAACGCTAGATGGAGCTATAGCCGAAAAGCCACCAAAAGCGTGGGGATAATACAAAGAAGTGTGATGAAGTTGTTGATGAACGTGAGAAGTTGGCGATGATGTATTGACTTGTGTGGTTGTCCAAATGGCTGGGGGACGGCGAGGTATGGCCACATCAACTTGAGACTCAGTGGATCGGTGTTCTGCTGATGATGTTCCGCGGCCATAGAGAGGTACCAGTGAGGAGTTTGAGATGTGAGCTTTGCAGACCGGACATTTAGGTGTCTCTTCTGATCCGGGGTTTGAGTTCTCAACTTGGAGCCACTTGTAAATGCAAGGCCAGCAGTAGAGGTGACCGCAGAGGGTGACTACAGGATCATGAGCTGAATCGAGACAAATGTTGCAATCGAAACATCCCATTATATTTCCAGAGTTTGCCGTTGGAACCGGAACTGAGTTCCTCGCTTTAAGGGAAACGTCTTCATCAGATCCAAAACTGATTATAGGTTCACCAAAAGATTGTTCTAGATCCATAGAATCTGTTAAAAAGATAAAAAATCACAAACATATCAATCACTTGACGATATTCCTTTGAAAATCATCTAAGAAATCCACATGAAAATAAAGAGCTGGTTTTTACACATCTGAACTTTGAGAATACATGACGACAGGAGCTACGACTATGGTCTATGCTACTGTCACGTACAATGGATACTCACACAACCATATCGGATACATGCCCCATAATTTAGTCTATGTAACATATGGCTATACTTCAATAACTAGGAAAGGCACCATATAAAAGAAAACATATATCTTTACCAGCATAGCTACATTTCTTTTTGCCTGTCCACTTCGAACCAGATTAGTACAAAATTAAGTTAGTATCTACTACTATTTATAATCACAAAATGCTGGCATTTGCTCCCCAAGAAAGAAATTCAAATCAGATGAGCACTACATTAGTCATTAGACTATGCTCCACTTGGATTCATTACTTTTTCTTTAAATTCCTTTGAAATGTGTTTGAATGTATGTGCATTTCTCGCTCGCACTCATACTTAAATAATAACCCCCACCTGTACTCCTGAGTCTCAATTCTGTTTTTCGTTTAACTATTTCCAACAATGCCCAAGGACATACAATTTATTTGTGGAGATTTACTATTATGCTACAAGAATGAAACTGAAATGTTTCATTTTTTGAAGTACCGCAATCTGACAGTAGGCTTAAATCCAGTAAGTTGCACACACAGAGGCAATCCAAATAATCTAAATATGTATGCTCGCACACCAAGAAACTAGAATAGCAGCAACGCAGAATTTTAAGAAATTTTTTCTGAATGTATGCTAAAACAGAAGCACGAAAAAGTAAGTGCGAATGACAACGAGAGAGCCACGATTAAGATCTTCATGAATGAAAAGGAGCATATGGTAACAAATATAGAATAATGAGACTTAAAGTTATTTCAAATGCACCAGACATTTTCCCATTAAAGGGGATGTTAAGAATCGAACTTCAAAAACTTCAGAAGTTTGTAAACTATTATGCAACATTTGATTTGGATTGATTATCGTATTTTTGTTCTTTTAAGGTTAAATTTTTTTCTTTAAAGGATCAGAGGATGGGGATTTTGGGGTGGTGGAGGTAGTGTAACTGATTGAAAAGGAAGTCCAAAAAGAGGTGGAAAATGTGAAGAAAAGCCAAGTTAACTAAAATTTCAACATCAGAAATGTTAATTTCAACAAGTGATAGGTCAACAAAGATTTATCCCGAAATGGAAGGAAAGCTGCAATTCCACATTTTCTATTCCTTGGAGGGGAAAAACTTATGTCGGAAACATTGTATCGCGGCAATGAAAAGAAAGACAACCTATTTTATAAAGCATTAAAATTATTGGCAATTGCTCTAGTCAATTAAGCATGCGTTAACCTTGGCCATTGAAATAAAGCCTACAAATGATCTCAAGCTTGACACGACTTACATCAGCAACAAATCTCAAGCTTGACACGACTTACATCAGCAACAACAACAACATATCCAGCGTAATCCCAAACATTCCTTTATATCCCTTTAGCTTTATTCAGATCCATTCCGTTCCAATGCTAAATAATTTGTATTAACTTCCTTGTTAATACTGTAATCAATTGATGACACCATATCCCCTGGACACTAAAACAAAAACGCCTATAAACGATCTCAAGCATGAAAATACACATCAAACAAGATCAATCACCACGCAAATCTTGAAGCCAAGAGTTCAACTATAAATCCTCTATATTCATTTTGCTTTATTGGATCCATTTCTTATCAATATTAAACAATTTATCCTCTAAGCCAAATTAGACATTCTTATACAACAAAAGAAATTTTCTAATTGCCACATTTATCCTACACACTATATACAAGTTTCTCACCAACTTTATTTGCATTATACTCTATTATTATCTATGAAGTCAGGGGCCGAGCTAGAAGCCTGAATACAGGATCAAACGAACCCAGTAACTTTTGCTCAAATACATTATTTGTGTTAAAAAATTCATTAAATACGAACAAATATTAAACGTAAAACCTAGTTATTAGCACGTGAAGTTGTCGTTCTAAAATCTAAAACTCATAAGGTTAAAATTATAGCTTCGCCTCAGTATGAAGCAAAAGATTAACAGAAAACAAAATTAAGTAAACCACGAGACAGACAGAACATTAACAGAATACAATGCGAATAATGTACCGGCGCGTGGGATAACGGAAGAGTATGAACGGCGACTGAATCGCGTGGACGAGGAGATTATCAACGGCGAATCCCAAAAAAAAAGTGTCGCCGGAAGTGATTTTGGAGGAGAAATGAAGTTATGAAGGAAGATAAGGAGAGCAAATGTAGCAACGAATGGGGTGTAAATTATTTGGGGTTAGTATTTATTATTTAAAAACAGTAAAATGTTTTTCTCGACCGCAAATGGGAGAGAAATATGGGTTGACACGTGAAGAGGGAGGCGCGTGTGGGCGGTTTTTTCTCTTGGAGTTACACGTGGCCTTATGCTACACGCGCTTGGATCTTGTCCTTTTTATGGAGAATACACTTTTTTCAAAAAAAAAAATTAGAGAAGTAATAATTGACGTGTAAATATCATTTGACTATTATATACAAAATTATCCAAAAATATAATTTTTATTATGTGACGAGAATGTGCCACCGAAACTCAAAGGTAAGTTCTATAGAGCGGTGGTTAGACCGGTCATGTTGTATGGGGCTGAGTCAAGAAATCACATATCCAGAAAATGAAAGTTGCAGAAATGAGGATGTTGAGATGGATGTGTGGGCACACTAGGCTGGATAAAATTAGGAATGAAGATATTCGGGAGAGGGTGGGCGTGGCTCCGGTGGACAACAAGATGCGGGAAGCGCGACTTAGATGGTTCGGACACGTGCAGAGAAGAAGCCTAGATGCCCCCGGTTAGGAGGTGTGAGCGGTTGGCTTTGGCAGGTACGAGAAGAGGTAGAGGGCGGCCTAAGAAGTATTGTGTCGAGGTGATCAGACAGGACATGACGCGACTCCAGATTTTCGAGGACATGGTCAGACTTTTGTATAATATTTGTGGTACTGCTTTTCCATCTATTTGATGTCTCTCACGTTGCTGATATTATTTTTTCGGGTTTTGTTGTCACATATCTATTGTCTCAGAGCCGAGGGTCTCCCGGAAACAGCCTCTCCACCCCCTCCGGGGTTGGGGTAAGGTCTGCGTATGCTTTACCCTCCCCATAACCCACTGAATGGGATTTTACTGGGTTGTTGTTGTTGTATTATTATAAAATACAAAAAAAATTATATTTTTTCTCTTCCATCTTTCTTCCTTGCTTGCTTCCCTCTTCTTCTTGCCCTTCCTGAGCTGAGGGTCTATTGGAAACAGCTTTTATACCTGCATTAGGTAGGGGTAAGGTCTGCGTACAGACTACCCTCCCCAGACCCCACATATTGGGATCAAACTGGGTTTGTTGTTGTTTATAAAATACAAAAAAAATTAAAATTTCAGAAGGTATATTTTACTAATTAAAAATTAGAAAAAGCTAATTTTTTCCATCTACATAGATTTTCAATCATTTTCGAATTGGAGAATGAAAAACTTACACTTTAATACTTATTCTTCAAATCTTAAACTTTATACAAGATGAAGAACTTTTGTCCAAAGGAATAGAAATATATTTAGAGATCTTTCAAAGAAATAAAATCTTTAATTATAGAAATATTTATTCACGTAATTTGTCCTAAGTAGTGTATAAAAAATTTAAAATATTTGATCAAAATCTATAATCAGAATTAATTATCCATCTGTTTTACTCACTTTACATGACATTATTACAATTAGGTGAATGAACATCTTTTTCGTTGACCACAGCTTTTCCATTTTCTAACAATGTTTTAATTGTAAGAAGTTGTATGTAATTTCTAGTTATGTAAAAAAATTTAGAAAAAAGAAGCCTAACTGTAGTTGCTTTTCGATCCGGCGGCCAAACAGTAGGTCGCTTTTCGATAAGTTTGAAAATTAGATGTAATGTTAAATAAAATGGTGAAAATAGCATAAGTGGAATTTGGTGCTCTAGTCTGTTGTTTGTATTTATGCACTATGCATAAAAACCAATATACTTTCGACACAAAATTTAAATATATTTGATGATTACTAAAAATTTAACATATATTAAATTTAAATTCATAATTTCAAAAGTAGAATAAGTTAAGCTAGAAACCTTCAAGGTTGAACCCATCAAATTTAAATCCTAAATTTTCACTTTGCATAAAACTCAACAATGATTAGATACAACAACAATAATAACAAACCCAGTGGAATCCCACGAGTATGGGGAGGGTAGTATGTATGCGACCTTACCCCTACCCTGGGAAGGTAGAGAAGTTGTTTCCGCTAGACCTTCAGCTCAAGAAAGATGAAGAGAAACAATAGAAATATCAACAACAACGGCCATTGATAGATACAACAGATCCCAAAAATTACATGTAGAAGTTTTTAGTTAGAAGCATACCTGATGCCGTGTTCTGCAATAATAACAAACACAAGGATCCTTCTAAGGGAAAGTGTAGCACAGAATACCAGTGAATTTCAGTTACTAATGTAATGCAAAAGTGAGAGGAGAGGAAACATAGCTCCTCAATCTATACAGAAGAATTTCAGGTTTATTAAGCATATTACTCTACCTGTGTTGAAGGCAAAGAGAGAATATATAAAGAAGAGAAACAGCTAAATTCCCATAATTTATATTTGCATTGCATCATTTTACAAGAACTTCTCTATGCTGGTGGTCAATGTCGTTTTCGGAACTGCGCCAATGACTGCATCTTTCTTCTCTCCGCCCTTGAAAATCATGACAGTTGGAATACTTCGGATTCCATATTCGCTTGCTGTTGAGGGGCTTTCATCTGTATTCAGCTGGAAGAACTTGAACTTGCCAGCGTATTCCTGTGATAGTTCACCAATGACGGGGTGAATCATTCGGCATGGACCACACCAGGGAGCCCAAAATTCGACCAAGACAGGTAAATCGGACTCAATTACAAGTGATTTCCATGTTTTGTCGGTAACAGCAGGCACTGCATTTTCCATGAACCATGTCAGACAAGAAAAAAAACTGATAAATGATGGGAGTGAGGCAGAAGCAATGCTTATCAGAGCAACTAAAACTGAGAAACAATATGAAATTTACTACCGGAGATAGCCGATGCATTGAATATCTTAACATCCTATTAAGTTAGGCCAAAGAGAAAATTTACAACATCTGATCTCATTCATTCAACTAAGGATTATTCTATATACTAGTGCAATGCCTATAGTCACACAAAAGCATAAGCAATGCTTCCCACTTTACTGAAGAACGAAGCCAGCGCAAAGTCCACTGCACAGATTTCCGACATCTGAACACAAGGTCAAAGTAACTTGCATAACATATTGCATAGATGCTTTTACTCAATAGGCAAAGTACTCATAGGAGTCTGAAAGTTGATACAGAAGCTTGAGACAGTACAAGCTTCTATGTTGTTCCAAAGCATATGTCATCATGAATCGCCAAGCTAATGAGTATAAATGAATTCTAAGAAGGTTAGTAAGTAGCAAATTTCCAGGCAAAATATTACATATAGCCCCTTAGATGTCTTTGACATTCAACTTGGCAGAGGTGGATCTAGAGTGGTGACATCGGGTTCATCTGAACCCAGTTATTGTGGAGCATAAATTTATGTGTAAAAACCTACAAAAAGTGCAACAAATAGTAGATTCCATAATGTTGAAAATACAATAGGTTCAACGCTAAGAATCTAAGTTGCAGCTGTGAGGTTGGTTCTGGAAGACGGGGAAAAAGAGCTTGGACAGGGACTGTATAGGTGGGGAGGGGGAGAAGTGAAGACGACAAAGTTGCTAGTCACGAGAATCATGACACAAGTAAATAGCAAAACCAAGTAACCAACCTCCAGAAAATGCACAAGTAAACCAGAAGAAAAGCCAAATTTATTCAGATACATATTACCAAATAAATTTATCTTTAGAAAAGAAATGCAAGGAATTCCAATGATATCTGATTAGCAGTACAGCAGAAGCTCTCAGTCTAGTTAGAACGTGATGCGTACATCACTTAAATATTGAACAGATGTGTTGGAACAAAAATATTGCTAGCTTGTCTCAACTTCTGTTCCTCAAACGACAGATTTACCCTTCAATAATGCAGTTTTAAATGGCCTGGAACTAGTTTACACAGAGATTCAAAATTTTACTATAATAGTATTATGTTTTAACCTTGAATATTTCTTAATACATTACTCAAGTTCTTAGTAAGTAGAGTTGCTTGAACAGCCAGTGAATGGGCCAGGTGTGTGCAAAATGACCCGAATAACATTACACTGAAAATTTAAGCAATAACAATATATACAAATTTTATTGAATAGATTCCGGCATCAATTTTATTGAGCCGCCCCTGAATATCACAGAAGAAACAAGATACGTTGTTCTAGGCCAAAAGAATCACAATTAAAAACAATCATCCATCATTAAGTAGTGAATTTGACGGGAAAGAAGAGTAGAAACACCTTGAACAGCTGTTTCCTGCGCCTCACAGACGACTCGTCCACCACGGCGAACGGATTTTGACTGTGAGCTGAGGGAGACCGGCGACCGGACCGGTTGGAACTTAAGTCCTCTGAACTGAGAAAAATTAACGGAGGAGCGACGGCCGGAGGACGAAGAAGAATTCGCTATAGGAGCCAAACGCGCCGATGAGAAAGCGGAGGCGCGTGGAACTGCGATGGTTTCCAACACACCAGCCATTGAAATAGTAGAGAGAGAAACGGCGATGTGTAAGAGAGAGAGTACTGATTTTAATTAAATTTTTTTACAGAGAAAATGTTAGTGAGAGTGAGGTCTGTGGTTCAGTGGAGTTTGTATTGTTTTTGTGAGATTTCATATATGATACGAATATCCGTTCGTTAGGATCAGGACTCCACGTGATTCGCACGTGACTTTTTTATATATACTTCCAAAAATTATATTTTCGTGGGCAGAATATTTTTCGAGAAATTATCTTTCTGTTCTTGCTTGTCATATTACCAAAATTATTATAGGCATAAATCTTTAACAGACATGTGATCTTATTCGGTTACTAATTATTCACACTTCTCTCAATTGATTTCAAATAATGCATATCTGAAAATGCATTGCGCTATCAAATGAATTATTCTCTGATCATAAACTTTTATGTCTTTTAAGTATTTTAAATTATAAAATATTATGACTTATAATAATACTTTTTTATGTAGTTTTAAAATATATAAATTTTATTTAAAAAAAAAGTTTAAAGATTCTATATTCAAATATATAGTCAAAATTAAAAAATTTGAATCTCGAAAAGCAAAAATTATTGAGTACATAAATTGAGCCAAATGGTTTTCAGTTCGTTCAAAGGTACTAAGGACGAGCCATTACAAACGGTCTAATGCTTTTTGGAGATTTATTTGAGAGTTAGCAGAAAAGTAAGGGCAGCACAATGCACTAAGCTCCCGTTATGCGAGATCCGAGAAAGGGATAGACCACAAAAGTCTATTATACGCAATCTTACCTTACATTTCTTCAGGAGGCTGTTTATACTGCTTGAACCCGTGACCTCCTGGTCACATGGCAACTTTACCAGTTATATAAGACTCCTCTTCATCATACAAACTAGTATATTTTCTCAGAATGCACACAAAAGTCACACATCCACTGCATTCTACTTCTTTCACCCCCACAGATCATGATATCTGAAGCATTATCAGCACACTCATCTACCAAAAAGTTGTCTGTCTTGTATTACTTTTATTTGCATAATATTGTGCACACAACGCAAAAATAAGCTCAAACGTATTCAAGTATTTCCAATAACAAAACAAAGCAGAAAATGTTGTTCAAACTCATGGAAGATACAACAATAAACAATCCCGGCAAATATTATCTCAAAATAGCTTCCAGTAACAGCCCTCAACCTTAACTATGGGCATACATAGAGAGGGTTGTCTGTCGACGAAATCTAACTTCCACCAATTAAAGAATAAGAATACACAACCTTAGCACAGCAATGAATACCTAAGTGAAACATACACATCACAGAACACTAAATATGAACTATTTGCAGGATTGATACAGTAAGTTCCTATTTCTTTTTCTTTACAAAAATAACTCTGGAAGACAAATGACGTGTTAATTCAAAGTGCAAATGGAAACCAAAGAACTCCACCTTTATAGCTCTAGGAGTCGCATAAGCTATCAAAAAAATAACTATCTTTGCTCTAAGCCAAGTTTCTTTCACGCATGAACCGCTCTATCTTCTCTACATCTTCCGGGGTGTCAACACCGTGGGTCTCATGGTCAACTTTAATAACCTGCAGCAAAAAAAAAGAGCCATGCAGTTATATAACCACTTTCTTACAGAAAAAACACAAGAGGAAAAGCAAACAGGCAGAATGTAAAGAATAAATTAATAGATAAAAAGGCTGCAAAATTTTCCGCATATTTGAAATGCTTATCAACCTTTCTACCAATGTTTCTTCTTTTGTTTTGTTTGGTTAACTATAGTTTCATCTAGAAATACATTTCCCCGTCATTTAAACAGATACTCAACATAGGGATGTGCAAATTGAAGAGAGAATGTTACCTTCATTTTGTATCCATTCTCAAGGACCTTTAGCTGTTCAAGATCTTCTTCTAGTTGCAATGGTGTTGGCGTCAGCTCTGGATATATTTTCAGGAACTTTGTATCATAGCTCTAGAATGAAATAAAAGACACTGTATCATTTTGATCATATAAAGTTACCCAGAAAAACTAGTTGATAGGTGAACTAAAATTGTACTACTAGATACCTGGATCCCGAGGTGCAGCAAGTAAGGAAACTGAGGATTAACCTTGCCTGACCTGAATGTATGGAAAAGCTGATTAGGTTCTATAACGGAAGATATAACCAGCCATTGCAACAGGCTTTTTAAGCGAAAAGGGGACTAACTTGTTATAAGGGATAAGCCCTCGTGAAAAATATATTGCATAACCACGATTGTCAACCACACATTTTACACGATTTGGATCAAATGCATCCTCAGGTTTCAAGGACGTCACAGCAGTGCTAAAGACTGCATCCGGTGCAGCCTGCACGAATCATAGAGTAATGCTATTAGTCATTTTAAGGCAAAAAGTACAAAGTTGTGGACAGAGGAGATTCAGTTAGAATTCTCATACAAAGTAAACTTCACTTCTCAAATACAGTATGATATGATATCCAATTTCATGGGTAATTAGCTCCCTAATATTCATAGCTACCTGTAAAAGATGATACCCTATAATATCTAGATAATCTGCTAATTAAAAATATATCTATGGGAAACAGCCACAAACCAGCAAAGAGGCAACTTTTGGTGACTATGACTCTATGAGTTTATGCTCGTTATTGTCTAAGTTCTTTAGCCAATTTGGATTTACATCTCGGGGTTAAACGTCCATGCTGCTCCCTACTTCCCAGTTCCTTTTACAGATCTACATCCTAATTGAACAGTCCCAAGAGAATTGTCATTTCTACATAAATGGTAAAGAATGCCAACCCACAGAAATTATACTAACTAGAAAGTATCTATACTTTGGACTATATTGTCCTAAATTTGATGTCGTACTCAGAAATTACAATTTTCCTCAGTCAATCTCAAAAAATCTACACATACCTCATTAAAATTTGGTCTTAGTGGCCCGTTTAACACTTCCCTTCCTAAATCTCCATATTCACACTAACTCACATAATATATGATGGACAGAATAGCTGATAAGAGCCCAAAAATATGTAGCTTCACGTTCCAAGTCAACATATCCCCGATAGTATATTCACCTAAGAACTACTTGGGTGTGACAGAATGGTATATCTATTTTGGTTGAATATGGAGATTGAGGAAAATAGAGTATGAATGAGCTCTTTTTCCTTCATAAAGAGGAATGGCCATTTTACATAGTTAAATATCTTTCAAATAATAGCTGGTATATGAGAAAGGGAATACGGATCTTCCCTACCCCAAAAACTAAGTGAAATTTTACTGGAGTGAATACAAAGACCGAACAAGTTGTAGCACTAAAATTTGTAGTAAGAGACAAAGAGAGAGGAAAATGAATACTGACTCGTGTTTCCAGTTATTAGCAAGGAGACAGAATAAAGGGACCTTTTAACAGCCCAAGGAGTGTTGTACTCCGAAAGAAAAGGTGATCTCAAGTTCGGTGCATCAAACTATGAAGCAATAGGTCAAAGGTATTGAACACTTGACTGACACTGAATATAAATTAAACAATCAGCGAGCGAGGAGAGTTGGCTAGTGTATTTACATTTTACAGGAGAAAAACAAGCGACTATCTGAAGTCTCCAAGAAACTAATTCCAGAGTATAACAACAATTCTTATCATCACTAAGGAAAAAACAAGAAAGGAAAATTACCTGCAGGGCTTTGACGATACCATCAATTATTTCAGGTTCAATAAGAGGTTCATCTCCTTGTATATTAACAACAATGTCATACTTCTTACCAAGTTTTTCCAGAGCTTGGGTACAACGCTCAGTTCCTACAATTTAACAACTAAGCATCATCTATTCAAAAACTGAAATTTCCATAAGTTGCAAAACAAGTATGTAGAAAATAAATGGTATTGTGTTTACCATTTCTACATGATTCAGCAGTCATTATCACTTCAGCACCGAAACTCCGACAGCACTCAGCTATCTTTTCATCATCTGTTGCCACAACTGTCAAACAACAAACCAAATAAGCACATGCAATAACCCTCTTCCAAAACTGCACCCACCGCAATCTTNACATGATTCAGCAGTCATTATCACTTCAGCACCGAAACTCCGACAGCACTCAGCTATCTTTTCATCATCTGTTGCCACAACTGTCAAACAACAAACCAAATAAGCACATGCAATAACCCTCTTTCAAAACTGCACCCACCGCAATCTTCTTTTTTTTCCTTTTTAGGGGAGCAGGGGGCGTGGTGGATGTGGGAGGGAAAAGTAGGCTTGGTTATAGAGGCAGTCAAGCCAGGTCAAATGGATACATACCAACTTGATCCAATGTCTCAGCAAGCTTTGCCCTTTCCCATGTTCTCTGCCAATAAGATTTTGCATATGGTGGAAGGTTTCAGTTTCTTTTAGAAAAAAATGGCGATAATTACACTGCTGAATCAAAGCTTCACCCAAGGGTACATGGAAAAAAGAGAGAAATCGCTTGAATATGGCATATAAGTTCCTAAATTTTGCAACTTCCTGAAAAGTTTGAAGCAGATTTTTGGGATCTTAATATTGCCAGAAGGGAAAGCACCTTGCAAGAGCAATAAATGGATCTAGAAACTTCATACCTGACAATATCAGATCCCTTACTTTTAATTATTCAAAGCAAACTTATAAATACTCAGTACCGACATCATTTCAGGTATTCATGTGAAAACTGATGTTTCGGTTGTAACATTGATTTGTAACTATGTTTCCTTTGGCATTAGTAGTTTGCTCAGGATTCTTTTCTCAATTTGACAAATCACTGCTTCAGTTTTATCCTTTGATACATTGATAGTGGATAAATGGCAATTAATACCCTATTGCTAACCATCTGGATATCCATACAATGAAGGGAAGAAGCTCATGTCTGGAGCTATGCCACTGTAGAATCAGAAAGTACTCAAATTCTCGAATCTCTACCAGCAACCAGGACAGGCACAAGAACTAAAAATATTACCAAAAGCTCTTATCAAAAGGATTTGACCTCTCCTGGACCTAAAGCCTTAAAATAAGAACAAGGTAAAGGTCGGGCACTACTTCCTTGTTGAAGTATCTCATTCCACGTAATTGGAACAAATCCCTCATTTTGCATATGTGCCTCATTTTACTCTCCATTTCACCACTCCAATCAAAGGTGGAACTAAGTAGAGTAAAGGGGGTTCAACTGAATCCCCTTTGTCGGAAATTTACACTGTACAAATCGGGTAAAAATAAATATTTTTTTTATTACATGTAAGAAAAATTTGAGTGCACAGGTAAAGGGGGTTCAAAAGTTTCTTTAGATCATAGTTTATGCATTCGGACTTAGTATAAATATGAAAAAAATAAATAAATAACTCGAGATGAAGTTAATTATGAATGTGATCACACGATTTACATTCTAATTGAGCTCCGAAGCAAGGAAAGAAAAGCATGGGGAGCAATAGAAGTACCTGGATCATGGGCTTGCCGAGAATTTGAACGAGGGGTTTTCCTTGAAATCGAGTAGAAGCAAAACGGGCGGGTATAATTCCTATGACCCGGCTCCGAAACTTGCTGGATCGGGCGAGGTAAGCGCGAGCGCCGAGAGCTACGGCTACTGCAGCTCCCACAGCTAAACCGTGAAGGATCCATGATTTTGTAGAACTTGACGATGACGATGACGATGACGATGACGAGCTGCAGATCGACATCGGCAATGCGCTTTTACGGTTTTCAGTTTTCCCAGCGCCAAAGTTGAGAGTAGTTTGAGAAATTGGGAATTTGTCGGTGTTTATTTCAATGTGGAAAGTTGAAGACTGACTTTTGCAAAAGTTTGCTATTGCAACTTTACAACTCAATGAAGGAAAAAGAAAATAATAATTTTATTATAATATTATATAGTAATATAATAATATACTAATACGATATTAATATAATAATATTGACTCACATATGTGTCTGTCGATAAAAAGTTTATTATATACTCTCTGAGTTCAATATATGTGGCATTGTTTGATTTGACATGGAGTTTAAGAAAGAAAAAAAAAATTTAAATTTGTAATTTAAATCAAGTCGTAGATATTTGCGTAGCTATAAAACATATCATTAAGATTAAAGTAAAAATAAAATAAAAATTAAAAATATTTATCAAGAAAGATATAAATATTTTTTTAACAGACTAAAAAGTAAGGTAGGAAATATAAATTGGGACAAAGCTAATAACAAATTACACCTAGTTTGGATCTATTATTGACTTCAAATGCTAGATCTATCTCTACATATGTTTGTGGTTGTCACATAGTTCCATAGTACTGTATTAATTTCGGTGAATAGACTGTAAAGTATGTTACAATCAAGAATTTAAAGAGAATTTTCGAAAAATATGTTTTTTTAATAATTGTAATGTATGTACACGCTTGCAGTGTATTTCGACTATTCCATACTACTTCCTCCATCTCATAATATGTGTCGTGATTTCTGCTATGCACGCCCCTTAAGAAAGAATAATTTTTTAATACTTTACCATTATTAAATGTTTTCTCAATTTATGTGTCAATCTCTATGAATAACGTTATCCATATTTTGATTAAATGTGAATACAATTGATTATTAAGGGTAAAAAAAAAAATATAATCAATTTTGTTTTGAACTTCAATGACAAATAATTTAAGACAACTATTTCTAGTAACCACGACACATATTATGAGACGGAGGGAGCACATACTATACTTTTTATCCATACAATTATCGGATAATTCTGTCAAATTTACTCTTTGGGAGATAAGAGAAATATAAAAAGAAGAGCCTCACTGAAACTACATTAGTTCAAGAATACCAATGAAACGCCCAAAAATGTATCTGCATTTCATCAAATTGTGTTTTTAGGAATTCATTAACTAACAAGCAGTCTCTTATATTCAAATTTAAAAGAAGTCTTACAAAAGCAGCTTTATTTTCCCAGAATTACAACAGCAGTTCTCTCTTGTCAAAACTGGCATGTTACAACACTGAGGATGATCTTCACCACTTTGTATCAAAACTTTTGTGCAATATGAATTCTCCAATGCACTTGAACCTGATTCGCTAGTGCACACGTCAACGTTATAGCCATCAGAGAAACTAGCTAAAGAACTTTGCCATATAAACACTGCCATTCAGTTCACCAGAGAAAACAGGTATCTTGGCAACCCAAATGGAGTTACGCTTTACAAATGGGCATCTCCAGCGATACATCAGTAAAATTACAGTAAGGTTCCTCATGATCTGACTATTTGATGCAGGTTAAATATCATGTAGAGGCATCCCAGTAGATGGACTCTAACCATTACAAATAAATATTGCTGTCGTCTTATCACCATCTATTATGTTTCCAATGCTTCTTCGAACTTTTCTCTTTCCTCGAGGAATTCCCTTCATCTCTAACATTACTACTCTCCCCATTTTCTTTCACCTTCTTAGCAGATTTTTTTTCCTTTGACGATTTCCTCTTCTTTCCTGAGGACTGCAGCGCTCCACCATCCTCTGCGACCCCATTTCCTCGAGGGAGTGCTTCTTCATCGTCATCATTTAACCGCCAGTTACAATAGATTTCCTGCTGGTCGGTATACTGCTGCAGTCCCTCCCCGGCGACTGGTAGCAAGTTAGTAAAAGTCACTTCCCCATTGGACCCCCCTTTCCTTTCCACTAGTATTTCATCTGGTCTAATTATTGTGCCAAGAATACTCCTGTTGGGACCTAGGCCAAATATGGCTTTTGCATTTGTCAATGTCGTGAAAGCCATCGCAAAAGCAGATCTGACCTGCACCAATATGAACAAGAACCTCAGAGTGTAGCTCCAGAGGAGGCAAGNCGAATAAGAACCTCAGAATGTAGCTCCAGAGGAGGCAAGAAGCAAGAGGACCATGTAAACAACTTAATAACAAAAGCTCAGCAAACATACGAAGGGATCGCATCAAAATTCGGATCTGCATGCAATCTAAACTTATATTTCAAACTTGGACTCTTGGAATTGCCAAGTGTATCGAACAGCTACGATAAACCTAAATAATAATACATGCTGTTTGACAATAAGCCGGAAAAATGCCTAATTTTCACAATTACTGAAACTCATAAATATTTGCCAGACAAAGTAGCTTCCTATATCGCCCGACCAAAATTAAGCAATCTTATTGACTTGGTGCATTGCCTCAAATACGATTTTGATTGAAAATGGATAAAAAAGATTAGCAGATTCTGAAATCATGCGGAATGTACCTGAAAATAATTGAAGGAGCTCTTTCCAATGTCATTTTCTGGTGTCTGCAATCACAAAAACACCTAGTTTAGTACTTTGTTTATAGTGTACTCAACCTTCAAAAGAAAAAGGTACTTGTGCTTTGTTTATAATGTACACACCAAATAACTATACAAAAACAAAATGGACATGATCCTTCTCTTCGTTGCTCCGAAAGAAAACAAAACCAACAGAAATAACTGACACCATAGTCAAGCTTAAAAAGCACAAAATTAAATAGAATATATATAACTTAAATAAATAAAAATAGGAAAAGAAAGAAGGAAGAACAGAGACAACAATGTTGGCTCATGGATGTACTATGTGATATTCAAATAGGCCATACGGAAATGTGAAAGGCACAGATATAAGAGGTAACCTGTGGATCCTCAATAGAAATAAGAGATTGCTTCCCTTTAATTGAGAACCTGAAGAACAAAAAGGCATCAAAGTAAATTACCCAACGAATATATTTTGACAACTTAAAGCAAAACACAGAAATATCTAACTATATATCAAAATTGCATACCCTTTGCTACTCTTCAGGAAGAAGGTACCTTCTCCATTACAAGATACACCAACATCTGATGTATTTAATTTGCGTCCATAAATATCAAAGAAACTAACCTAAATCAACAACATATGAGCAAATGTGAGCAGCTTACCCTGAATAATATGAACCTGTAGCAAGGTTTTTGCTTTAAAAAAGTCCCAACATGCTGAAATAACAGAAAAGAAGGGAAAGGAGAAGGAATGGAAGCAAACAGAAATAGCAGGCAAGGAGGAACTGGAAAAAGGGTAGTCGCTCAGCTAAATAATTAGTTCTGGAATCAAAGATTAAGAAGGAAAGAAGTGCGCACAGGACACAGACAGGACGAAATGCACAACCTGCACTGCACAAAAGTTATTGCTTTTGAAAAATAGAAACTTCCTTTAGAAACCTTTCAAGTGGCAAGAACTAGACATCCTAGACTGATAACAATTAGAGTTCATACTCTTTCTCCTACAAATGTAAGTGATATGGCTTTGGTTTTATCTTCTTATTGTTCCTCCAAGAATCTGCTTGAACTACCCATTAAGTATTTCTTTTTAGTTCTCCTGATAAAAAAAAGTATTTCTTTTTAGTTCTTCCAGTCCCAGACAAACTAAGATTAGAGATGAGTCAAGGTAAAGTAGTTCCCCCCCCCCCCCCCCCAAATCGCCTGTATTAGTTGTAGAGTCAAAATGATCTTCTCCCAGATGGTTAACAATTGGGACCTGAAGAAATTAATAGCAAGTCAATAACACTTTGTCTAGCCTTTATCCAAAAAAAGACACTTCTTCTAGTAAAACAAAAAACAAATAAGGTTCAAGCAAAAATCCAAGAAGCTAGTAGGAAATTTCAGATATATCATAAAGTAATCTGGAAGAGAGGTTCTTTTAAGGAAAGCGAAAATCCCGTTTGAATTTCCGCACTACTTATGATGTTCTCCATGCGAAGATAAAACAGTCAATTTGGATCTCTCTCAATCCTCTTTGGTAGTTTTCAAAAACAACACAATTGCTTGATGATTTTGGGATTTATATAATAGGTGAATGAAATTGTTCGTGGAGTTTTTGAGAGAGATAGCTGAGAAGAACAGTCAATAGAAGTCGTGGTTGAACATGACAACCGTGAATTATCACATTGGAACACTAAGAGAGGATTTGTGTTCATCTCTTAAAAAGAAATAAGAGAATTTTTTTTTGGTGATAAGGAAGAGAGAAGATTGTTTATTAGCAAGGAACATATAAAGCATATACTAGGTGCGTAAAATTGTCCATGGAGTTTTTGAGAGAGATAGCTGAGAAGAAAGGTCAATAGCAGTCATCGTTAAACATGACAACTGTGAATTATCACATTGGAAATTTAAGAGAGAAGACTTGTGTTCATCTCTTGAAAGAAATAAGAGATTTTTATTTTTGGTGACTAGGAAGAGAGAAGATTTGTGTATTAGCAAGGAACATATAAAGCCAACATCTTTTCAATATGGTTTAGAAGTTCCGCACAGGCATACTCTCATACAGCTGGTATGGCTTTGTATTAAGAAGAAGTTAATCAGTAGAGAAACTTTGCCTTAGGCTTTCATCTTCTCTTAGAAAGACATTTGTCTGCTAAATTATCTCTGTTAAGGATTTCTCTCTTTTGCCCCTTTAAGAAACTACAGCTTTGATTCTTTTATCCGTTCTCCAACCAGCAGTACGCTATCTTTCTTGACCATTCTCTTTCAAAGACAAGAACATTGTGGGTCATGTTAGGTACAGCATTGATTTCATTGAAAATTTTCAAGAAATACAACTTCAAAGGTGACATACCAAAAGAATTCCCAAATTCTGTTCCGGAGAAGCTTGACCATTTCGATGATTCTGGCAAACAAATTACATAGCATGACCAAATAATCAGAACAAGATAAAACACAAAAAATACATTGGTGACAACTAATTTTACATACAAACTAGCACATCACAATGATACCCCTCATGGAGTAAAGTTTATTCTTAAGTATCAAAGAGCGGTATACTCATAAGACTCAATTCTTTTTCTCTTCTTTTTTCAGGTGATTTCACTTAAAAAAAAAAAAATCGGAAAAAGATTTCACTTAAAGTCTTCAAAAGTAGTTAATACAAAAGTGATGAACAATACATATTTGATATAACCAAAACAGAAACCAAGACAACCTTTTTCAGATGGATGAAGTATCAAATGCAAAGGAAACAGGACTCACAGCAGAATTCCATGGTACCTCAGTTCTCAGTTTTTTTCCATCTCAACCTATGTCTAATAGAAGACACAAGAAGTACTTCAAACCTTAATGCCAAACTGATCGGGGAAGAAAAAGGCCAATACTAATTGATCAAATAAAGACTACATGCTTGAGTTGCCTCATTTCAGAAAATAGTTTTAATCCAATACTCCTTCAATCCCAGATAGAATTTTCAACTTTGTTTCATTTGTAACAGACCAGTGCATGCATTTTGCATGCAAAAAAGGGGTTGGCAAAGTTGAGAAAGGATATAACAGCGACAAGAGGGTCTTTTTCTAAGTGTATTAAAGGACTGCCGTGAAACTAATTCTTCACATAGTCAAACCACTATTTCACTCAACTAACTACGACCAAATGTCCAACGACCAGTCGTAATTTACCATTCACACTATAAGAGCATGTGACTGAGTTTATTCACCTGCAACATTGCTATGAGCATTACAAGCAGCGCATAGGAACCAATCCCACCAGTATAAACCTGCAATATAAGAAGACCATAAGTCAAAGCAGAAAAGATCTAAACATTATCATCAGCAAGTAACTTTAACGTGCTTTTTAAGCATGTCTCCGCCGACAGTTAGCAACTTGGATATATTAGAAGATATTAAGAATGTCGTACCTCATTTAACTCTCTCTGTTGCAAGAACACTTTCAAAATCAAACATAATGGTCGTAGAGGGGGCCAGTTAGACATAGCATCCTATAGAGGTTTGCAAACACAGTAACATCAGACGCAGTTAGTTTCTACATCAGTAGATTTTCACTGTTCAGCGAGTGGATGCATCGGCACAAACCTTAATAAATTCAGCAGCTCTGGGTCCATTCTCCACATCAAAACTGTGGTCAGAAAACAGAAAATTATTAGTAAGAAGTTAGCTAAATAATCATATGCTATAGCAAGTGATATGAAGACCCCTTGTTGCCAACGGTCAACCCATAAGAAACTAAGAAATCAGCTAAATAATCATATGCTATAGCAAGTTATATGAAGACCCCTTTTTGTCAACCCATAAGAAACTAAGAAATCAGCTAAATAATCATATGCTATAGCAAGTTATATGAAGACCCCTTTTTGTCAACCCATAAGAAACTTACCTTCAAAATACAAACTCAATTCTTCCCTCTAGTCACCGTACTCTACCATGTCCAAGTCATCTCAACCAATTAAAAATATTAAAGCAGTTGGGCTAATTAGATAGTAAATCAGAGTACTATCCCAATTAGCTTACTAAACCTTTTTTTTTTAAATAAGGAACTATTCTCAGGAAACGTTTAATTTATTGAGATGAGCCATGGCAGTAACTTCATTGATGGAACAAGCAACTCCGACAGAAATTTAGCCTCCATTTCTTCCCAATACCACCCACTTCCCCATCAAAATATATCCTCCCAGAGGTGTGCATTATTCAGTTTATATCAAGAAATCGACTGACCAAAGATTTCATCCGTTTGGTTCTTTCTTTCTTTCTTTTTTAACTTGTGTTTTTCAGTCATTTTTTGGTTTTAAGGGTTAAGGAATTTTGATTTTCTGGTTAGGTTCCTGGCTTAACAAATTGAAATAGGAGTATATATATTGTGCTAGGGTTTGCCTTAAATTTGGGAAGGCCCCACTACAGCCAAGAGAAGGAGCAGCAACACTTTTTTTATCTCTGATCTTATTCACACTGTCACATCTCAAGCAGTACTACTTGGTCTTCCACCTTCCGCTCTTTCTCTATCCTCCTAACTTGCATTTTCTTCTCAATGTCCCCAGGTTTCCCACTTTTGCTCTATAACTTTTGCTACCAATCTCCCCATTCTAAGTACTTTTGCTCTTTAGGAACCAACACCCC